TCACGGACAGCTGGTTGGAGCGCAGCGGCGGTGGCGCGGCGGCCGGCACCTCGGACACATCGTAGAGCTGCGCAGTCGGGGCGGTGCTGGCCGCGGTGCCGCTCGGCGCGGACGTGAAGTGGATCAGCAACTTGCGCTTGCCGACGACGGGGACCCCGCTGAGGACGACGCCGCCCGCCACTCCACCGGCCACGCTCCCCGCTCGGGAAATGGTGAACAGTTCAGGCGGCGACGCCGCCGCCGCCACGCCGCCGCTGCCGCCGCCACCGGGGGCGGCCATCGGTGGGGTGGCGGTAGGGGAGGCGGGGGCGGGCAAGGCTGCGCGCCCACCCTGCGCAGGGGCGACGAACAACAACACCGGCCGTGGCGCGGCTGGCCCCCCGCCGCCCCCGCCGCCGCCGCCCCCACTCGCCCCCTTGCCCCCGCTACGCTCCCCCTGCACGCCCTGCACGCCCTGCACGCCCGCCACCGTGGCCATGGCCCTCTAGGGCCTGGAGGGCCTGGCCCTGGGCCTGGCCCCTCTCTAGGGCCACGCAGGGCCCCACGGGGGGACCGCGGACCCCCAAACAAAGGGGGTGCCGAGACTCCTACCCCCGTCGGGGCGGCCGTCTGTCCTTGCTGTCCATGGTGGTCGCCATGGGTCGCACAGTCACACAGTCAACACGGCACTTTGAACGGCACTTTGAACGCGGCACTCTGGCACGGCACTGTAGCAGGATCCTGGGCCCGCGCACCGCGCTTGGCGCTTGGCTTGCTCGGAACACGGGCACGGCGTTGCACGGCGTTCGCGGGGCTGGCTGCCTGGCTGGCCGCCTGGCCTCGGCCTCGGCGCGACGCGCGGTGGAGACCAAGAAAGCCCCGGCGCTGCAGCGCGCAGCGCAGGCGCACCGTCCGTCCTTCACGTGTCCCTGCTGCAGCACGTCATCGCACACCTTTCACAGCACACACAATCACAGTCCTCCGGGAAAAACACGGGATGCAGACGAGAAAGCACGCAGCCTGGAGATGAAGCGTTCAGTTCGGCCGTCATGGTCCTCGGGCGTCCTCGGACGCTGCGGCGCGCATGCGCGGGGGGTTGCCGCGCTGTGATATCGACCCGGGCTATCGCCTACCAGGCAGGCCGCCACCCCCGACGCCCAGCGCCACCTCGCGTAGCGCCGCGCAGCGCCGCGCAGCACAGCGCCGCGACGCCACCCCGTACGAGCCGAGCAGCCGAGCCGAGCCGAACGGCGCCCGAGCGGACCCTTCGAGTCGGTGCCGAGCGGGGTGAGGGGCGAGGGGCGGCCCGAGGGTGGGGCGGTGCGCCTCCCCCGCCGGCCGGCGGCGTGGCCGGGGTGGCAGGGTGGCCGGGAGGAGCGGGACAGGGCAGGGGGCTGGCTTGACCACGCACCCCGCGGCGGCTAGCGGCGGCGACCCTTTCTTTGGGGCTTGGGGCTTACAGTGTGCGGTGTGCGCGCCGACCCACACCCCACACCCGCATTAATATAATCGACGCCATGAATAAATGACACGGAGGCCGGCCTCTATCAATCAAGCAAACGCCTCAAAGCCGGACGGGGAAGACAAATAGCGCCTCGTCCAAAAGTTGGGGAGCCACTCGCCCCTAGTGCGTGCCCTTCCACCCGCACAGCGACCGCCGCCTGCCTCGAAGCCTTGCACACCTTGCACAACGCGTGCACAAACGGCCGGGAGAGGCGCCAAGCGCGAATCGCGCGAATCGGTGGGAAAGCAGGAAGGCGAGGAGGAGGAAGAGGAAGGAGAGCAAGGCACAGAGAAGCGAATTAAAGCTGGGAAACGAAACGCGCGTCTTTTGAATACACCGAGCGGCGGCCAGGCAGGCAGCCAGGCAGGCAGGCAGGCAGCCAGGCAGCCGCAAGCCGGGGCACCGCAGCATCCAGGAGCATCCACGAACCCAGAGGTAAAAGTCGGTGCGGTGGCGTGCCGCGGCCCGGCGAGCGGCCCGCCCGGAGTCCCGGAGTCAGCGACTGGAGTCAGTGACTGGCGTCGGCGACTGCCCCACTACGCGGCCACGCGGCCCGGAGGCGCCCCCGCCGCCCCGCCCCCAGAATGTAATCTCAATCCCTCACTTTCGCCGAACATCATTCCGTCGACCGGACCGACCGGCAGCAGGCCAGCGGGCCGGGTCGGCCGCCGAGGAATTGGGGAGGGGAGGGGGAGGGGGCGCTTTGCAGGTCGACTTCTCCCGCGAGGCACTGCCAATGCCTCATCACCGCGGACTGCGGCGCCTTCGGCCACCTTCGAGCACCTCGCCGACGTCATCGAGTCTGCCGCCCTGCCCCAAAGTTTTTTTTGTTTTTTTTTGCCCGCAGGTTTGGGAGCGCATTGCCTCCGTACTCCCGACAGTGTCGCGGCCGGGCAGCGCGATGCGGGACGGCGGCTTCTCACAACTTATACGGCGGCGCGCGCACAAGGCCGCGGCTCCCCCTCCCCTCCCCTCCCTTCCTCCCGCGCGTCGCGGCGCCGCGGCCCGGCGCTACACTTTCGGCTGTGCAATAAGGTCCCCACACGGACACACTGGTGGCAGGGCAGGGCGACATGGCGGAACACTGCCAAGCGTGGACCGATGCGCCGACACTGCCCCCGTGGCACCGCCAAAGAGACTCGGAGAGACTCGGAGAGCTAGACGGGCGTTTCTCTGACCATTTCGAAGATAGGCCGAAAACGCCGCCAGCGGACTGATTCCGAGAGTCGTTTTCGTCGCTCTGTCTCTCTCGCACCCGTGCGGGACGCCCTGGGAGTGCGAGGGAGATACAGGGCGATGAAAACGCAGGCAAGTGTGCTGGGCCCCGCTCCAGCCTCGCTCCAGCTACACTCCAGCTGGCGTCTGTCGGTCAAGCTCAAAATAAATAGCGGCGTCACATCGCCAAGGTGAGACCGCACCGCACCGCACCGCTCCGCACGCAGACAGCCCGGTCGGTGCGCCTCTGGCGGCCCGTCTTTTCCTTCGCGAGTTCACTGCCCACAGTACACTTTTAAAAAATGAACGAAAAAAAAACAGCCGAATTTGTGCCCGGTGTTCACAGTGTGGAAAATAAAGCTGGCCCCTGTAGACACCCCCTCCCCCAATTAGTCTACGTACGGCCTGCATCACACCGAGGCTAGGGCATTATTCAAGACGGACTGACTGCCTCCAGCGTCCACCGCGCCGTGGAGCTAAACCCTCGGCGACGCACGCTGAATGGGGGTCATCAGGGCTGGCTGGTTCCACTCTTTATTTCATTTCGTTTTTTTTACGGGCCGGTAGGCCCAATGCCAGGCTGTCAACTGACCGGCCGGCCCAGTGGTGGCCAGTGGGCGAGGCAAAGCATGGGCGAGCCGCGGGCCCGTCGAAAGTGACAACAAGGCTTGTTGCCCGCTAGCAGTGCGGTGGCTCCGTTATCGTCAGTCAATCACCTGCGCCTTTTTGGCGAGACACCTGCCTGCCTCCTTCCAGAGTGACGCCCTGACACGTCCAGGAAGCCCGCAGGCTACGAGTCTCTCTCGCACTCACGGGGCGTCCGGGGCAGGTGCGAGAGAGGCAGAGCGACGAAAAGGACTCTCAGTGTACTGGAAGCCTGGAAGCGGATTACCGCCCGTCCGTCCGTCCATACATCCATCCAGTATTCCGAGCAAAACAATGGCCCGGCCCGCCGCGCCCCTTTCTACGAGGCGAAAACGCGGTAAGGCGGTAACGCGCTGCACGCGGAAGAATGCGACAGCACTCATTCAACCGCCACAATGTTGCTTTTTACTACGAACGGGGGAGTGGCTGACGGGGTCCGTCTCTCTCGCACTCGCGTGGCGTCCCGTCAGTCCCGTCAGTGTGCGAGGGAGACGGAGGGGCTGTTCAGCCAGCAGGGCATGGGCTCGGCGGGCCGCTTCGCGGATCAGGGCTGAGTCACTGACTCAGTGGCGCCGAATCCGTCGAGCACCGTGCGACAGCACTCTCGCACTTAGGGGGCCCGTGGAGGTGCGAAGAAGACGGAGAGACACTGTTCGGAATCGCTCCGCACAACCTTGGGCGGTGGATCACACGGCGTTGCGCGAATTTCTCATAAGCTGCGTTAGGACCGCGCGCGCCGCCGCCGCCGAGTCGCACGAATGTCATTTTGTGGAGTGAGCCAACGTCGCAGCGCGTTGCTGGGTTCGCTGGACGTCGCCGGGTTGGCATCCTAGCCGGCCTGATCCTCGTTTGAGCTCCCGCGGTCGCTGGCAGTGTCTCTGCAGCCACTCAGCCTACTTCCAGGACAGCCGCTCCTCGCTGCCTCGCGGGGCCGAGGCGGGGCCGGGCTGGCGTCGCGGACGCACGCCCATTTCGATCAGAAAAAGAGTTGAGTGAGACGCCGAGGCGGCGGCGGCAGCGGGGGCCAGGTTCATTCACACGAAACGCAGCTCAGTCGGTTGCGCTGTCACTTCGCCAGCCAGAGATAGTGGGTTCGGTTCCGGCCTCCGCCTCCGCGACGGAAACGTCTGCGGGCGGGAGACTGTAAGGCTCCGTCGCGTAAGCAGCTGGTAGGCAAATACTCGCCTCTTTTGCCGGTCGCTGGCAGCGCCTTTGGGTTCATCTAGTGTGGCCACTCTCTTGTCCATCCGCGCGGCTTTCTATACTCTCGAAAGTGTGGTGGTTGGCGGCATTTCGGGTTTGAGACTCGCGGGCCGCCGGTTGCGCCTGTTGCGCCTGTTGGTGGCGGGGCTGACCGGCCTGACCGGCCTGACCCCAGAGGAGGCTCTCGCCGCCTCGTTCCGAGTGGAGGGCTGTCTCTCTCGCAGTCATGGGGCGTCCCGAAGGCGTGCGACAAAGACAGCGGCGGAACGGTCGTTCCGAACCAAGAGGCCGATGGCTAACGATCGGCCTCTTGGACGTGTGGGCCTGCAGACCGCCACAATGCCACACCGCCCAACCGCCACCTCGCACACGCTGGCTGGCTGACTCGCTCGCCGATCTGGAGTGGAGTAGAGACCGTCTGGAGTCTCTGACTCGGCCTTTTAGCCGGACTCACCTTGAGCGGCCGCGTCTGGGACAGCTGGGACCAGCACCAGGGCGACAAGCGCCGCCAGGAGGGGGCCGCGGAGGGGCCCGCGGAGGCCCGGCATCATGGGGTGACGGAGTGGACGGGGTGTATCCTCAATCACATTCACTTTCACACACACTGACACTGCACCATCGTCACACTTCACTGCACTGCTCGCTGTTTCAGCCACCCCTCTCTGTCGCACTCCCCGATTCACAGCTCCGCCCGGTGTGGGCGCACCGGCCGCGGATCCATTTTCGCGCACCGCACTGAGGAGAGGAGCAACACGTGGACGAGTCGAGGACGCGACGCGATGTTTGGTCTCGGGGAAACACTGACGCGTCGCTCCGCCGTTCGAAACAACAAAGGTGTCCGCGCGTCCGGCGCACGCAGGGCGCACGTCGCGTGGCGTGGCGGGGCGTGGCGGGGCGCGCAGTACGAACCGATCCGCACCTGAGCACGTCGGCTGCTGGACTAAATCCCCCCTGCTCGCTCACCAGCCACCAGCGCGGTCCGCACCAGCCCGGCTCTGCTCGGCGGCAAGGCGCGCCCCTCTCCTCCGCCATGAGCGCGGCCGCGGCGTGGCGCTCGCGGAGCCCCGGCAGAGCCAGCCATGCGAACAACGGGACGGGCACGGCGGGCACGGCGACCAAGAAGGCAGGGCTGTTCCCCGCCGTCCCCTTCGCCTTCTTCTATCCTCTCTTTCTCTCCGCGGCAGCGCTTCCAGCTTTGTCTCCGTCCCTCTCCGTGCCTTCGTCTTCGGTTTCTGCGGTCGGCCCCAGCCCAGACCCGAGAGAAGGGGGACAGACGTCTCTGCCCTCTCTGCCCCTGCGCGGGGCTGCGCGGGGCTGCGCGGGGCATGCCGCTAGGCTGATCGTAGAATTGGCGGCAACTCGCTTTGTGGAAGTTGGAAGTCCGCGAGCGTGCTGTCGTGGCGGTAGTGCGTTCAAGTCCCCGCGGCCTGCGACGTCAGAGAGAGACAAAGAGAGGGGGGAGGGGGGCCTGCGACACCTCGGACTGGGACGGATCGAATCTCGACCGAGTAAAGCACATAATGGGTTCGGTCTTAATGCAGGCGTTCGGAAGTCGCTCTGAAATTTTTATAGACCAACCACTGGGCTGCGTCAAGACGTTCGGATAAATGCCGTTCACAGTGACAATAAACAGCCACAATAACAACAACAGCAAAAACCTGTCACTCATCTTTCGACGATCGACCAGGAAACTGCAGTGTACAGACTTCAAATTTCGGCCTGACCCACCTGCTCGTAGAAGCGCAGGGCCAATGCGTTTCCCCCTGCTGAGCGCCAGCAGGCAACCCACACTGCACCCGCGCTTCATGGGTCGCCCTCCCTCTCTCCGCCTTGTCGCGAGGCGAGCGCCGCTCCACGTAGGCCACCCATGCTGCACTGGTGTGGTGTGGGTTGCCTGCTGCCAGGCGCTGTTGTCCGAACGCGCCGAGACAAGGTAAAGGCGAAACTGCCAGCGCCGATCCCCGGCAATGTAAGGAAAAATACGATAGGCGTCGTCCGTCCTCTTGAATTTAATCAATCCACTCCAATCCATTTTCTCAGTGCTTTTTCTCTCATGACTTGGGCAACGGCTTTCAAATAATCCCGCTCTATCGCTTTAGCGAGGCTAGCCCCTTCGAGTATGAGAAGATCAGCAGAACGCACAGTACTACGCTAGTGGCCTGAAAAACCGCAAGAAACAAAACAGTTCAGAAGCCTTTCAAAACTCGGGCCATTGACTGTCATAATTATTAATTTAATCCCAATTATAGTTGGAAATTCTGATGTCTTCGTTCAACGAATCAAAATAGAGGAGCGCAAAGTTGAAAATAGGTCATCTCCGTGCGCGACTGGGATTTTCAAATTTGGCGCCATAGCAGTGACTCTCCAACCCATGTTCCTGTCGTTTTCAAAACATTGGAAACATTCATAACACAATAAAAATGGGTTAAAATATTCAGTCAAAGTATGTATTGTAGTGAAAAATAAATTTAATTTCCGGTTTAGATCTTAAGTGAAGTCAATTTTGATCGAAATCTGCAAAGGATAGGAGGAGGCCTTTGGGTTGGAGGCTACGGATGTTGTGACCCAGCTGTCATTTGCAACATTTGGGGGAGTCAGTTGTGTGGCACCGTTGCGAGGCGTAGGAAGCAAAAATCTCTACAGATCGTCCATCCTGGTTCTATCAGGTCAGCTGACAGCCTTGCCTAGCCCTTTTCTGGTATTCTTACTCGGTTACGTTCCTGTTTCTATTGTCGCGGGTGAAGCCCTGTTTGTTTGGGCGTACGAGGTGCCCGCTGAATCGTCCAGAATTGTGAAATTCGGCCAGCAAGGCCTATTGCGCCACATTGCGTGGAAACCATTGTTGCTGCAAGCTCGTTTCCTTTGTTCGCCATTGGACGTTTGGGACGGATCAAAACTAAGTTACAAGTGGGTCGGGACGTTCGAATTCTCGCGATTGAAATCTCCTGTGTCTTTCTCGTTACCTTGTTTCGGACAATCGGTATTTTTTGACGTGAGTGGAGATGGCCTAACGGCCTGTTTGGAATGGGTGACTTGCATCGATCGACGACTCGTTGGATTAGTTTCATCATCCCATTCAAACTGTGACTCGAGGAAACGTCTATTTTGAGAGAGATTGCTGCTTCTGTTTTCGGACTAGCGTTGCTTTTTTGTGTATCTGATGAGCGGCCCTCACTTTTCTTTGTGTCCTCATGCACGCGTCCCACTTAACCTTGTCTCTATCTTTTTAGTAAATAGATTTGCTGAATATTTTGCTGACTTGTATTCATTTTTATTTCAGCAAACATGCAGATCTTCGTGAAAACCCTTACGGGTAAGACCATCACTTTGGAGGTGGAGCCCTCGGACTCTATTGAGAATGTTAAGGCCAAGATTCAAGACAAGGAGGGTATTCCCCCAGATCAGCAGCGTCTGATTTTCGCTGGCAAGCAGCTGGAAGATGGCAGGACTCTTTCAGACTACAATATTCAGAAAGGTTTGTATATTCTCAAGAATTGAGACTGTAGGATATTTAGTTTTTGGGACTCATTGCTTGTCATCTGCTAACACTTGAATCCTTGTGTCCACAGAATCAACTCTGCATCTTGTGTTGCGTCTCCGTGGTGGAATGCAAATTTTCGTGAAGACCCTGACAGGAAAGACCATCACACTTGAGGTGGAGCCCTCAGACTCCATTGAGAATGTTAAGGCCAAGATTCAAGACAAGGAGGGTATTCCCCCAGATCAGCAGCGTTTGATCTTTGCCGGCAAGCAGCTGGAAGATGGCCGCACTTTGTCTGACTACAACATTCAGAAAGGTTTGTGCATTCTTTTAAGTTGTAGAACTTCTTATTCTGTTTTGGTGGCAAGTCTAACTAAATGATTTTGTTTGTTAGAATCAACCCTCCACCTGGTCCTTCGTCTTCGTGGTGGTATGCAAATTTTCGTCAAGACCTTGACTGGAAAGACCATTACTCTGGAAGTGGAGCCTTCAGACTCCATTGAAAACGTCAAGGCTAAGATTCAGGACAAGGAGGGTATCCCCCCAGACCAGCAGCGTTTGATCTTTGCCGGCAAGCAGTTGGAAGATGGCCGCACTTTGTCTGATTACAACATTCAGAAAGGTTTGCTTTTTGACATACAGATTCTTCCATTCCTATCTTGTGCCCTTACTGAAGTGTAATCGTAAAACACATTGTTTCTTCATATTAGAATCAACCCTCCACTTGGTCCTCCGTCTTCGTGGTGGTATGCAAATTTTCGTCAAGACCTTGACGGGAAAGACCATCACTCTGGAAGTGGAGCCTTCAGACTCCATTGAAAACGTCAAGGCTAAGATTCAGGATAAGGAGGGTATCCCCCCAGACCAGCAGCGTTTGATCTTTGCCGGCAAGCAGTTGGAAGATGGACGTACCTTGTCCGATTACAATATTCAGAAAGGTTCGTAGAGATCAGTTATTCAGTGTTTCTGCTTTCATTCTTCAAAGTTTTAATATGCGTGATTGTTGTGATGCAGAATCAACCCTCCACCTTGTTCTTCGTCTTCGTGGTGGTATGCAAATTTTCGTTAAGACACTCACTGGAAAGACCATCACTCTGGAAGTAGAGCCTTCAGACTCCATCGAAAATGTGAAGGCCAAGATTCAGGATAAGGAGGGTATCCCCCCAGATCAGCAGCGTTTGATCTTCGCCGGCAAGCAGTTAGAAGATGGACGTACCTTGTCCGATTACAATATTCAGAAAGGTATGTTCTGATCTTATCTTGTGAGTCATCTGGTAATACAGACCAAATGTGATCCTTACTTGTGATGGTTTGTCTTGTTCAGAATCGACCCTCCATTTGGTCCTTCGTCTCCGTGGTGGAATGCAGATCTTTGTCAAGACTCTTACCGGAAAGACTATCACTCTCGAAGTGGAGCCTTCAGACTCCATTGAAAATGTCAAGGCCAAGATTCAAGACAAGGAGGGTATCCCCCCAGACCAGCAGCGTTTGATCTTTGCCGGCAAGCAGCTGGAAGATGGCCGCACTTTGTCTGACTACAATATTCAAAAAGGTTTGTACATTCTTGAGTTATTAAACTGCTGGTTCTGTATTGGTTGCAAGTCTAACTGAGTATGTGTGTTTGTTAGAATCCACCCTTCACCTGGTCCTCCGTCTTCGTGGTGGTATGCAAATTTTCGTCAAGACCTTGACTGGAAAGACCATCACTCTGGAAGTGGAGCCTTCAGACTCCATTGAAAACGTCAAGGCTAAGATTCAGGACAAGGAGGGTATCCCCCCAGACCAGCAGCGTTTGATCTTTGCCGGCAAGCAGTTGGAGGATGGACGCACCTTGTCTGATTACAACATTCAGAAAGGTAGAAATTTGAATCTAGCTCTTTTCTAATTACCAGTGACTGAGCGTGTAAATTTTTAACTTTGTTTGTGTCTGTCCTACAGAGTCCACCCTTCACCTGGTTCTTCGTCTCCGCGGTGGCCAGTAGAAACTGTTCTCATTCAATTTTTAATATTGTGATTAGAAGCTTTTTTTCATTTCATGTGACTAAGCGCTTCTTTGCCATTCCATCAGTATATTACCATATTTCAATGTGTTAATTCCAATATTTGACTTTGTTTTTTGACATTTTTTTCAATATCCTAGCAGCAATAAATGTCCAGCAAATTATCTGTTTATTTTATTTCTCCTATCTGTGGGTTTGGTGGTTGATCAATGAGGTACAGTTTTTAAAACTAAAAGGTCATTTATTTAAAATAATTTAACATGGCTTTAACTAAAAATGAAATTTGAGAACATCAGTGAGACAAGGAACAGCATGTTATTATCTACTCAGAATCTGATTTGCTTCCTTTGTCGGCTGGCTGGTCCTTATAATGTCGATATTCAGGCTTAAGTTCCCACATATTTTTATGGGGATTCTTGATATTATAATCACACACCTCCTTTAGTATCTCTTTGAGATATGTCTGGAAAAGAAAATATAATTAGTTGGGAGATCTTGAAGGAACTTGCATGTGAGAGAAGCACAATCATTACTCACAACAGGCTGCTTTGTAATCCGAACAAGGTCTTTTATGTTATAATACTGGTGTTTCTCAAATGCAGCAAACATCATTTCCATAACAGCATCCTTGTCATCCCGAGATTTCTTGCCTTCTGCCTTTTTCTTTTCTTCATATTCAATCTGAAAACAAATTTCATGGTAAGGAGAGAGACAACATTCCATCAGTGGACAAAATTGCACCAAAAGTGGGAACTCACATTGTGTTTGTGGTTTGCTACAGGTTTGTAGTTCTGAACCACACGGTCAAGTTGCTGAACTTTCCTGACTGGCTGGGCTGCCTTGCGGAATGTTTCTGCCTTCAAGCGCATGTATCCTTGATCTGCCACTGCAAACAGATGATATATTTAGACAGTTGAAACAGTTACACTGTTTAGACAGTTGAAACAGTGCAAATACATAATTGACATCTTACTGAAGGGCCTGCACTCAAGTTTTTGCTGTATCTTTCCCTCTAAACATAACTTTTCTGTTTCTGGCACCACTGCATCTGTGTTGACGGCTGTTTCAAAGCATAAAATTAGAGATTACATGTATTCATTTTAACTTGGCTGAAGTTGGAATAGTATGAAAGCAACTTACGAACAGAGTGTGAAAAGACCCCTAGTGTCTGTGTCTGTACAATTTGCAAATCTAATTTATGATCTTTAGGTATTGGTACTGGTCCAGTATCCTGGGGTAATAGGAAATCAGCTAGAGCAAGTGTTACATCTGCCTTCTGTCCAGCTCGCCTGAAGAAATGAAAAAAGTTGTAGTTATTTAGAATTCAAGACAATCTTATTCCGCACAACACCCAAAGAACACGTACTTTGAAATTTTAAGTTTTCCTACTTCGACATTTCCTGCAGCCTTTTCCCATTTTTGACTAATATATTTTGGAACCTAGATTAAATAAATGCCATTTATTAGTAAAGTAATATACGAGCAAATCGGCAATGTTGCTCAGTACGTTAGTAATTGTCAGGTTGAGTTAAACTATATCAATAAATTAATAAAAAAATACAAATGTTTCAAAACTGAAAGGCACATTACCTTTACCAACCACACACCTCGCGCCGAATGGGCTAGATCTAGTTCTCTGTCAGAATGAGAGGCTGGTGGTACAGTGTTTGACATTTTGTTGAGAGACACTTGCTCGTCAACACAAAACTGGAGATGTCTATAAAAGAGGGAATCCCGTTTAAATTATAGTTCTTAAAAATGTAATCATGCATACTTTCCTCTCATAAGTTTACATTAGTTACACCCACCAAAGTTTTCAAAACAGACACAAAGCCGAGAGGTTATAGAAAAAATTAAAATCAATATACACCACAGAAATCAGATCAGGAATCAGATCTCATGAATCAAAAAGGTGGAAACAGCTTGAGTTCAACTATAAAAACTAACTTTTGATTAGGTGGGTCCCTAAATCGCAGAGCCTATTTGTTAGACAGTAGAAAGGCTTTGTTTGTAAATTTCAAAATCCTCCTCCCTCCCTCCCTTCCCCTCTTCTTTTCTACCCCCTTCCCCTCACCCTCGATCCACAGCCCGCCATTAAACAGGAAACAGTTGTACCCTTCGGTGTGAATATTTTCATTTTACGTCTTATTTTTTGGCATGGAGCACTATTAATGTAAACAAGCTTACGGGCTTCTATTTTATTTACTTTTCCTTTTTGTTTTTATGTATTTCAAAGGTAAATCTGCTTGAAACTTGGAGTAGCGCAACAGTTGGCAGTCCCGGAAACACATCACAAAACTGAACTTTGCGTGGTTGGCTTTCCTGACATCCAGTTCCACCTTCCGTTCTTTCCACAGCAGGCCAAAATGGGTAAGGAACGCCGATTTTATTTATCCTTCATCATCCAAGTTTGATGAGGGTAAAGTTTGCATCAAATGTTCCATATCGACGAATTTATCTTCAAATTTTTATTTTAAACCATTTGACGTCAGTTTGGGTCCTTGTGTGAAGTGAAATTATGGAAATTGTTTGCGTCGTGGCACTTGGTTATGTTACCGCGCATGTGGTTCGCACAGTCGTGAAGTCCCGTATTTACGAAACTAAGTTCACCTCCTTCGTCTCATGCCGGTTCTTCAACTCATTATTCAAGTTTGTGGCAATTTTCTTTTGGAAGTTGAGCGTTGAAAGGAGCCTGCGTCGAAGTCTGTTATGACTCTAGGTCCAGGCCGCCGGTGCGTTCATGTCGTGTTGTTTTGAAGTGTTAGCCGCGACATTTAGTAATATTTGTCATGTCCAGAGTTTCTGTGGTCAGCATCACCACTATTCTTGTTTGTTCGCCTTCCTTTACGGCCCACCACCGCCACTAGTTTTGGTCTCCCGTTGTTTGATGTTTGCGAAAGTGAGGTTACGGTCCTTCTTGTCGTCGTCTTGGGACCGATGCTGCTTCGGTGCGGTGTTCACCATATCACCTGACTGTCTACTAATGTGTTTGTTTCCTTCGCAGGTATTTCCCGGGACAGCTGGCACAAGAGGCGTGCCACCGGAGGTAAGAGGAAACCCATCCGTAAGAAGAGGAAGTACGAGCTCGGCCGCCCCGCCGCCAACACCAAGGTAATGCCCGAGTCCCTCAGCTGCAGCAGCCGAGCGAGTGTTGGCTAATGATGACACATTCTTCTGCAATTTCTTGATAGTTGTGAGAGTTTATTTCACCTCTAACGTCCTGACGCCCAACACGCTCATTTTCAAGATCGTTCAATGGCTGAAAACTTTAGTTTCAGCCCTGAAATCTATTTGTATTTTGTGGGATACCTGTGTACCTTAGTATTGTGGGATCTGGGTTGTTAGTTCCTTGCTTTCCTCAGTGCCTGGAGTATGATGACTACTCAAATTTCTTGACAACTGTGATAGTTTATTTCACCTCTAACGTCCTGATGCTAGGCACTTTTCCATTTTTATCATGGTTTGGTAGTTTTGATTGTGGCTTCTTATGTGGGGAATTTTATGATGACTTGCAATGTCTTGACGGCTGTGAGAGTTGATCTACCTTGTTCTTTGTTCTGAGGTAAATCCCCTCATCCGTTAGACTGTTTTGTGGATAGAGGGCTGTCAGCCCTACAATCTTGATAAATTTGCCATGAGTGCTGTGAGACCTGAGGTGTCAGTACCTTGTTTTCTTTAGTGCCTGGAGTATGATGACTACTCAAATTTCTTGACAGCTGTGATAGCTTATTTCACCTCTAACGTCCTGATGCTAGGCACTTAAACATTTTTATAATGGTCCTTCCACAGTCAAGTCACTATATTGTAGATTTCTTACTATTCCTGACATTCTTTTTTCTGTGTCCTTAAATTACTCTTGCTTGGCCTGTGGGCTGGAAAGCACCAATGACGTGATGTACATTATTCATGCGTGTCATCAGAGTTCATGAAGATACTTACTTATACCTACTGACATTGGTCTTTTTAGTTCTATTTGGTTAGTGATAGCATTTTGAAAACGCATCAGAATGTCATTCAATGTAAATTAACAAATTTACCTCTTTAAATGTTTCAGCTTGGTGCTCGCCGTATCCACTCAGTCCGCACTCGTGGAGGCAACAAGAAATACCGTGCTCTGCGTCTGGACCAAGGAAACTTCTCTTGGGGATCTGAATGTAAGCTTCAATAACTGAACATGGCATATTTTGGTAGCAGATGATGATCTTATCCTTACCTACTCCGATTTACTTTGATGAAATCTTTAGATCTGATGACTATCGCTTGTTTGATTTTGTCATTACCCGATTTTGCCTTTTCTTATGTTAACTTTATTTGCAGGCTGCACCCGCAAGACCCGTATCATCGATGTTGTTTATAATGCCTCCAACAACGAGTTGGTGAGGACAAAGACCCTTGTCAAGAACGCCATTGTTGTGATTGATGCCACTCCCTTCAGGCAGTGGTATGAAGCCCACTATGCTCTTCCCCTTGGCCGCAAGAAGGGCGCTAAGCTGGTGAGTTCTCTTCTTTCAGTTACTTAAAAACTGTACCCACTACATGATGAACAATTATGCGTGTCATCAGAAAACCTGAAGATAACTATCCTTAATTTACTGATATTGGTACAAGTTTTATTTGGAATTAGTAATGTAATCTAAAGTTACCTTGAGGGAACTGTCCTGGAGATTTATGGAACTTGCCTATTTGTAAGCGGCACAGTGATGACAACAAAGAGTGAGGCCAATTTTGTAGAGAAGTTGTTTTAACTAATCTGCGTGGTTCAATGAAGCTCATGTCATAGTTACTCTGAGTGCCAAACAGCCATTTATTTGCAGTGCTGACTCAATGTTGAAAGCATCTGTGTCGATTGGTTCCATGATTATGTGATTTCCGACTTCTGCTTGTTTCTTGTTTGGGATACGTTAATTTCAAGTCTTCATTTCTCATGATCTAATAAGCTTGTTCTTTTTGTTTCAGACTGAAGCTGATGAGGCTCTATTCAATGGAAAGAAGTCAAAGAAGGTTGAGCAGAAGTACAAGGGCAGACAAAGGACAGCCAAGGTAGAGCAAGCAGTAGAAGAACAGTTCGCCACCTCCCGAGTTCTTGGTAAGAATGTTGCTCAATTTTTTGCTTAGCACAAGTATGATTATTTTGAGGGTAGCTTTGCTTCTTTCTAGGGGTGGCACAGTGATTACAAATCTGAGAGAGGCCTATTTTGTAGATGGGTTGTTTTAACTTCTCTGCGTGGTTCAATGAAACTCCTGTCATAGTTACTATGAGTGCCTATTTCTGATTTAGCTATTTGCAGTATGTTTTCAATGATGAAAAATTCATGCGCGTCAACTGAATTGTGATGATTGCATTTTCTGAGTCTTGTGATACTGTCTGGGTTGGGAGGATTTGTAGGATTGTTCAATAGTAATTTTGAGGTCTTCTTTGCTGCAGTATGTTTTCAATGATGAAAAAGTTCATGCGCGTCAACTGAATTTTGATGATTGCATTTTCTGAGTCTTGTGATTCTGTTAAGTTTGGGAAAATTGTTTGTTGGTTGCCACTTTTGAGGTGTGCTTATGTTTTTGTTTCTTTGTTGCAGCGTGCCTCTCGAGTCGACCTGGCCAGTGCGGCAGAGCCGATGGTTACATTCTTGAAGGCAAGGAGCTAGAGTTCTACATGAGAAAGATCAAGGCCAAGAAGGGCAAATAAATATTAAGTTTTGGCATTTCTCTTGGTGTGTTTTTGATACATTTTAGGGGAATAAATGTCATAAAAAAACTCATCGAATTTTTATTTAACATTCCTTTTTCAATTAGATTTCCTAATTTTAAATTTTCTTACAACATTGATGCAATTTCCGATGCTCGGGAAAATGTTATCTTGCTGTTTTCCTGGAGCATCGGTAACTAACCAGCAATGCCATGGGCAATAAGATTAAAAGTAATAAATAAGGATCAGTCTTCACATTTCAGTATATTCTGGAGTTGAGAGGGTCTACCACTTTTCCAGCCATGAGTGATACTTGGGTCTCAGCATCCATAACAAAGTAGAGGAATGGGTGTGTGGCAATGAATTGGTCGAGGCGCGAACGGGCAGCTGTTGTCCCTGGAAAAGTCGAAATTCGTAAAGAACAGAGCGTGCTCCAACTGGCAGGTTATGCGATGAATACTCACTTGTCTGAATGTCAAGTATTTCTACGTAGTTCTTGACCACCACCGTCACTGCTTGTTCGATGTTCCTCACGTACAAGTCTGGATCATCGGTCATGCCAGAGAGGTCTGCTCTCCTCGGGTCGAACAAATCCCAAATTCCCAACTGAAACAGAGTTGTCACGCGTCATCCTCTGGTTTCTTTTTCATACGATACGATGCGACTCACGGTCGCTAGTACCTCCAGCATAAGATGCTTGGATGAAAGTGCGGAACTAGGGCCTTTCTCACCTGCTGCAGAGTGGGGGTGAGGATGACGAAGCCTTCCACCATGAAGGCGGGGACGACCGCCTGCACCCGGGTGGGCCGAAGGGCGCGCTGCACCTCTCGGAGCGGCACTCTGTTGAGGCCGTGGAGCAGCTGCCGCAGGCCCTGTCTCTCCACGGGCAGCAGCAGGAGCAGCCGGTACCTCTCGTCCTGTCAAAATAGAGAGAGAGACTGAGTCCCGCAAGCGGGTCCGCGATGAGGCACGGTTCTTCTCTCCTTGCTCTTACGTCGAGAGGGAACTCCAGGGCCAGGGCGTGCAGGCGGGGGATGTAGGCGAACGGGAAGGACGCCGTGTACTCCATGACGGGCACGGGCTCCTCGAAGGCGCCGTCCACCAGGAACGGGCGGCGGGGCAGCTGCCTGAAAAGCTCGTCGCCAGTGGCCACGTGGCTGTCGAACATGCCGTTCTGCAGCTGCAGGCTCAGGTCGGGGAAGCCACCTGCAGAAGACGGGGACAGCGGATTACATTTTGGATGCCTCCAGCAGACACTTGTCTGTAGACGACGTCGTACCGTTGATTTCCCTTCTGCGCCTGCCGTGGCTGCCGGGGCTGGTCTTGGAGTCGTTGTGGGCGGACGCGGCCTCCAGGCCCGTCCAGAAGGACAGCGCGGGCCCCGGCAGGCGAGCCCTGCGCTGCACCGTGTGGGCCGAGGGCGAGGACGCCGAGGGCTTCGTGCTGGTGGTGCTGGGGCCAGGGGTTGAAGTGGGGGCGGGGGTCTCTGTTGTCGGCGTCGTCGTGGTCGTGTCCCCGAGCGGCTCCGGCTCGGGGTCCGCCACGTCGGCGGGCTGCTCCTCAGTGGGGGACGCAGTCTCCCTGATACACATTGCCATTAGAAACCAAATTTAAAAGCGCATTCAAGGACAATGTTTTGATTAAGCGCATGAAGTTCAAATCTCACCCCGCCGAGTCTTGGGTGGCGGTGGTCTCCGTCATGGCTTCCGCTACCGTCGTCACGTCGGGCTGGTCCGTCGTCCAGGATGGCGTCGACGACTCGGCGGACCATTCGTCCGTCGTGGGCGGCACGGTGGACTCGCTGGGGGTGGCGGCGGGCTCCGGGTCGGATGCCTCGTCCGACTCGTCCGAGGACGGCGCCGACGGCACCCCGGACGACTCGGGCTGTTGGGCACGGGAAGTACTTGAGCACGTCCTCCTTGACCTGCGCGAGTGATTTTTGCCGCGGGATTCCCCTCACCTGCGAGCTGCTGGTCGTGGTGGGCGTGTTGCTGGTCGTCTGCGGCGACAGGTCCACGTCGGTGTCGGTGCCCCTGCTCTCCGGGAAGGTCTCTGGCAGTCCCTCCGGGAACAGGGAGTTGAGCTGCTCCTGCAGGCGGTTGCCCATCAGGATGCCGGGGAACCTCTGCTGCAGCAGGCTGGGGTTGAGCAGGCTGAGCGGCGTGTCCGTGGCCACGTCGACGCGCTCCACCTCTTCCTCCACCTCGTTCTCCGCGGTCGCAGGGGTGGACGACGACGCGCCGGCCGAGGGCGCTTCTTCGCCCGACGTCGCCGCCGACGCCTCCGTGTTGGGGGCGTCGCTCGGCGTCGGCAGCGTCGTGGCCTCGCTGGCTGGTGACGCCGCGCCGACGGTCGGTGCCGCGGTACTGGGGCTGTCCTCTGCCGCGGACCCTTCGGACTGAGGAGCAGGTGGGCTAGAAGTACTGCAAACACAAGAACGTCACCGGCAGTGTCCTGGAGGCCTACCTGTTCGCTGGCGTGCGTCACTAAGGGAATTTCCACCCACGTCGGAGCCGCCGCCGTCGTCGCTGGCGTGGCCGTGGTGGTGGCCGCAGACGTGGAGGTGGAGGTGGTCGTCGGTGACGCGGTTGTTGACGTCGTGGTTGCCGGCGAGCTGACTGAGGTGACTGAGGTGGAGGATGGCGCCGCCGTCGTCGCGCTGTCAGTGGTGGAGGCGGACACCGAGCCGTTGACGTTGACGCCCGGCTTGCTCGAAATCTGCGGGGCGAAACACACTGTCATGGCGAATGTTTCCCAGTGCACGCACAAGGACAGCGACTCGCAGTGGTACCTGCGGCGAGGCCAGGGTGACGTTGCCGGTGTTGCCGGCGGTGCCGGCCTCCTCGGCGTTGGCGTCCACGTCGTAGCCGTAGAAGCGCAGCACGCGTCGGAACTCGGGCAGCAGCGCCGTGCGGGACTGGCTCAGGGTGACGCCGCTCAGGTAGCCCTCGTGGCTGAAGTAGCTCTGTGCAGCCACACATTGGACACAAAAATGGAAATAATTTACTACAAACTTGCAAACGTTGAACGCAATCTCCGGACGCGCGCACCAAGCGCCTCCACTGTAGGCAACGCCACTTGAGCGCTGTGCGACGGGCTGCCTACCTTCGAGGCGCCCCGTCCCTTGAGCTAGAGTCCTAGGCTCTAGGACTCCACCTTGAGCGAGCTGTACGGAAAAGCACTGCATATTCGAGACTTCGAGACGCACAGTGACAAGACACGTCTGAAGCAGTTGAAACCGACACTGCGTGGAACAACTTGGAGCATCACAATTTGGCGGCCCCAGTTCGTCATATGCCAGTGTGGGAGTCCACGCCGACGACGACTACACCGCGATAATCACGCCACACGTCAGTCACTTTGTGGCGCGTGGCGCGGCGAGACTGGCCAAAAAACGGAGTCGTTGGCCCATTTTGGTTTGGCCGTTTGGCGGACTCACTCACCCGGAGGTTGCGGTGGACGTCCCGGAAGCCGACCCTCATGACGTCGCGGTCCCACGGCAGCTTGAGCGTGGTGTGCACCTGGCGGGCGGTGTCGCCGCGCGCGCCCTCGAACAGCACCACCAGCACGCTGGCCACGCCGTACGGCGAGAAGGCGAAGTTGCCCCTGGAGTACGCGTAGTCCTGCAAAAGGGGGCGTGTTGGCGGCGGGGTGGCGCATGAGGGCGGCGGGGACGGCGGGGCGACGCCCTACCTGCAGCACGGCCACGCCAAGCTCGTTGGTGATGTCCACCATGTCGTCCATGGGCCGCTGGTACCCCAGCACGGCGGGCCAGTGCGGCGGCCGGTGCGGCAGGGACGGCCGGTGGGGCGGGGGCGCGCCCTCCGCGCTGCCTTGCGGGGGCGGTGGCGGCGGCTGGTACCCGATTCCAGGCTCTGGGGGCGGCGGCAGCACCGACGGGTGCTCGTGGGACTGGTCCCGCATGGGGAACATGCCCATGCCCGGGGCCCCCGCCGTGCGCAGCGGCACCCCCGGTGGGCCCGGCGGGTAGTGCGGGTGCAGCGGCGGGTAGGCGCCAGGGGGGTAGCGGTGCGCCGAGGACGGCGAGGAGGCGCTCAAGGCCAGCAGGACGAAGACGGGCACGCCTGAAACCACGCGCAGCAAGCCTGTGTGTTACGCCCGACCGTCGTCCGGCCCGTCGGCAGGAATGCGTCACAATTTGAGGACATTGCGCGCCGGGCGCGGGGATCCCGGCGGTTCCCACAGGACGATGCCGACGCCGCGCTGCCTTCTGCCGTCCCTCAGTCCCATCACGCCGCCACTGTCAAGGCACGTCGCGGCGCGGCGCGACAGTTGACAGGTCAGCCAACCGAACGCTGCGGAATGCGATCGGAATCACCTGGCCGCCGACGGCCGCCTCCGAGACTATCCGAGACTCCGAGGCGACGTCACGACGTCACGCAGCCTCGCCGCGTTTGGGGCGTTTTTCTGCGGACGCGCCTCACACGCGGCCCCGCCTGGAGGGGCTGGAGGGGCTGGAGGGGGAGGGGGCTCGCGTTCGATCTCTATCTGCCTTTATGGTCCGGGACGCCAGGACGCCCCGCGGCCGTTTCGAACGCGTTCAAGACGGACCGGTCCACAACCCGCGGAGCACGCGGACGAACCGAGGAGTATAACGGTCGCTGATTGACGTGCACGTGTATGTGTGAACACGCACGCACGCCGGTGCGTGCGTGCGTGTGTGTGGTGTGTGTGTGTGTGTGTGTGTGTGTGTGTGTGCGAGTGTGTGCGTTGGGAGGACAAAGGCGGCGGAATTGAAGTCCCAGCTTAAAATTCCACCTGGAATTTCCTCTGGATTTCCTTGTTTCCATCTGGTTTGCTCATATCCATATGGGATTTTTATTTTCCAGCGGAAAAGGGGTCATTTCCATACCAGGCTGCTGTCGGGAAAATAAGGGTTCCAGATGGAAATTTTTTTCCAAAAGGGGTTTGAGTAACCCAGAAGGAAATTGTATTCCACTGTGGAAAGTCTGATTTCCATAGCGAGATTTCCACAATGGATTTACTAGAAATCCAGGAGGTTTTATTTTCCAGACTGGATTTTGTAAGCTTTGTCCCTAGGGGGCGCTAGTGTCGCTTTTTTGTCCTGAAGTAGATAAAAGGCTCTCCTAGCTCAAAAAAAGTGCCTCATACTTCCGAATAGGTGGATTCTAAAGGGATCCATGAGAGTTATGAAACCTTATGGATGATGTTGTTCAGTATTACAGGGTGGGTTTTTTTAAACTAAATTATCTCTCGCTTGTGACCCAAGGGTCCCAATTTCCTTAGTCGAGGAAATCTAATTCCAGAGGCATGTGACAAATCCATACCATCTGGCACATCAATCAATTTTGAGGCAGTGGCACTTGCACCTCTTTGGTGTCTGCACCTTGCCGAGCTGGCTTTAGCTTTTCTACTTGATAACTTGCTCTAAAAATCAACTAATTCCTGCTTGAATCAGTATGAATACGTGAAACATCCATATTTTTAGAATTGGGGGGCCACAGGGGGCACGCTCCATTCTAAAGCCTGCGATTAGCATGTTAAAATAAAACCCCTTTTTTACAAATAAACGAGTACAGTATTTTTGGGGATTTCCATTTCCCAGATGTTAAAACCTACTGGAAAACGGAAACCCACAATGGAATTCATAAAATTTCCCGATGGGAAAACGTTCCAAAAACCAGCTGGATTTTAGATCCCCTGGATTCTACTTTCCACAATGGAAATAAAACCAACCCAAATTTTCCCGGGGGAATTTTTAAACTGGGAGTGCAATGTCGGGCCCCCTCCCTTCCCCCCCCCCTCCCCCTGATGATGCGCGGTATTCAAGGGGCATACCGGCGGGACACATGTACCTACATGTGTGCCAATACGCGCACACACGCGTACGTGTTCGTGTATGTGTGTGTCTGTGTGTGCGAGCGCTTGTATGCATGTGGGGTCTGTATGGCCCTCTCGACTGCGGGTCGCCAACGCGAGCAACGCCCCTCCCCCACCCTTTTCCGCGCACACACGGAGGTGGGACTTCCAAAGATGAAAGTAGAATACGGTACATTTGGACTACTAGCACGCCGGACGGCCGAAAGGGGGCGCCGTGCCGTGCCGTGCCGTGCCGTGCCGTGCCGTGCCGTGCCGTGCCGTGCCGTGCCGTGCCGTGCCGTGCCGTGCCGTGCCGTGCCGTCGTGGCATGCTTCGGATGAGTCACGGGATGTGCCCTGGCCCCGCCTGACCCGACCTGGGTGGCGTGGCGCCGCGTGAGCGGACACAAGACGCAAAAAAAAAAATCCAACACCGCGACGCTATCTTTCATGATGGTGCGTTTCAAAAAAACGTTTCGTTTCGTTCTTATTTTTAAATGAATTTTCTTTCCTGGTCCAGTGGACAATTTTCCCAGCTGCATAATACATTTTTGCAGGCTTTCTGGTTTCCGAATGCTTTGTCTAGGCTGGCCGGTGTCAAGGCAACTGCGACTGCTGCGGCTGCAGCAGGGTTCAGTTCTAATGCATGTGGGAACTTCCCTCCCTCTGGCGGCCATTTGCAGGCCATTTGCCGGCCATCCCGGCAGCCGTTTCAGAGTTTCAGCCCCAACCAGCAGACTGATTCCGAGAGTCGTTTTCGTCGCTCCGTCTGTTGTTACACTGTTATTTTTGTGTTGATTTTTTGAAAATTAATAGGAGTCTTGACAATGCAAATGTTCGTGCAGTGTCTCCAAAAACGGCCCCTCGCTTCAGCCACTATTGTTCATCCCGCTAACACACTGCAGCGCTTCGCCTGCTTCGCTTGCTTTGCTAGTTGTCGCTTCCGCCCCATTAAGGCCTTCGGGCTTCAGGCAGGCCAGGCGGCGCCAGGCGGCGCCAGACTGATCGGCCCATCGTTTTCCCAGACCTTGAACATGGGCCGCTGCCGCTGCGCCGCAACGCCGCTACGCTGCAAGGCCCTCGAGGTGTAAATCAACGCAAAGAGCATTTCATTATTGTTTAATCAAGGCGTTGCAGCACCGTTAAGTAGGCCCTGAGTGACGAGCCCCGTGAGCCAACGCGCCAACGGCGCAGCAAGAACGAGACGAGCTGTGCGCATCCTGGACATTTGTTTTTGTTTTTGTTTTCGCGCGCGATTCTTTCACTGCAACTTGAAAGGAAGGAAAGTCATTGACATAATTCGTCGGCTGATGATAGTTTTGCGTTTCTTTGTTGTTCCTCGCACTCACTCTCCCTTTCCTCATCAGGATGGCGGGCGATAACGAAACGACACCGACTGTGACGGTCTGACGGCGCGCGGTCCGACGACGGCCCCGGACCGCGTGGCGGCCGGTGGCGCGGTATTGTGATTGTGTGCCGCGAAAAATGAACCTAGCCGGACCCTTGGGGGACGCGGACTGACGCGGACACGGCGACTCGGCCCGGTCCACTTTCTCACTCACTCTCGTTGATAGTGCGGTGCAATTTGGAGACGGAGTGGCTGGCGTGTCTAATTACCCGCTCGGCCCTGGAGGCCCTGGGGCTGGAGGCAACTTGCTAAAGGCGTTCGCTGGAGCCGGGAGCAGCTCGCTGGAGTCGAGGTCGTGCCGACAGCCTGGATTAGGCGCTTCCAACCGCCCAATCAGTCACCATTTCGGCGCTCTTTTTCGTCCGCAGGCCTGACCTAACCTAACCTGACCTGCCCTGACCTGACTACACTACACCCCCCTCCAGCCTCCCCACTCCGGCCATGGTTCGTCTCCTTTCATTCACTGCACCGAGCCCCACCGAAACGAGTACGCGGTTTTGGTCTGTGTGTCTTTGTTTTTGTCCCGCGCCTCCTTTTCCTCGCCAAACTGCGGGATGGCCGAATGTCCACGGGTCGGTGCGCTTTGCGCGTTGCGCGTTACGCGTGTCGCAGCTGGCCGGCCTGGCCGGTGTCATCAAACTGGGCAGCGGCGCCAGCGGCCGGCCGAGACGGGCCGACGAGCCGACGGGCCAGTCACTGCCCGCCAGTGGCATGGCCGCATCGCCGCATCGCCGGCACGCCGCCTCCAGGTACACCGAGTCCAAGCGGCGCCTCGTCGTTCCGCCCCTCTCGCACCCCACGGGGCGCGCCGCGAGTGCGAGAGAGACAGGGCGATGCTGTTCCGGAGTGAGCGTGGCCGGTGCGGCGGACCGCGGAGCAGCGCGGGGCCGCCACCGACGGCGTGCCTCCGCCTCTCCTTCCAGAAATAAACAAGTGCGAAAAGGAAATGGCGGACTGGTGGCACCGCGGGCCGCGGGTCGCGTCCGGGCGACGCACGCGGAGGCGCCCCGGACGCAGCCCGTGCTCTGCTGCTCTGCTTGGTCACCCCCGACCTTACCACCCTGGCCGTGCTGGCCGTGCAGCCGGAAGCGAGGCGAAGCGCTAAGCACGCGTACAGTGCCGGTGCTGGCCCGGGAACAATTGTCGGCAGTTAAACGAAATGAAATGACGACAGTTTGATGGACGTACTGCGGACTTGTTTCGATTTTTCACAGACTACCTTGGTTGAAATTCAAAAATGAATGAACGAAAGCCTTCTGAAACGAGTACGAACGCAGTAGAGAATAATAATAGATTGGGGCGGAGGTTCAACCTGCGCACAGTGTACTGACCGAAAATCATGGTAGGGTTCCAAGAGAGGCTGAGGGTTGCGAAGCTACGAGGAGTGCGAATCCTGGCGACGCGGTGCTGCGCGGAGCTGCGCGGTGCGGCGCGGCACGACTAGGGCGACGCGGACTACGGACGCGAGCCAGCGGCCAGGCGGTGCTGGAGTCGGCCGGAGCGACGTCGCGGACGCCTGGAACAGCCCGAACAGTCTGAGCGAGGCGCGGCGCGCGGTGCTGGCTGGGCCACTGGCTGGGCCCTCGCGGTCTCAGCCTCTGCAAGGCAGACCCTCGATACCCGGCCCGGCCCGGCCGGCCGGCGCCGCGTCCTGCCCGTCCAGGTACGGCAGTACGGCCGCCGGGGCGCGGACGCCGCGGCCGAGGCGTTGACGGGGCGGCCGAGAGGCCCCTCCCCTCCCCCGCCGTCCACGCCCACTCAGACCAGGGCTGCCATCAGCACGACGCTCCCGCTGGAGACCATCATTCCCAAAAATTGAGATCCGCAAGGCGGGAAAATACCCGGCCCGGCGAAGGGGAGGGGAAGGCCCCGCCGGCCCTCGCCTGCAGGTGGGGTCATTAGCATCTCTGCAGTCGAGCCATTCGGAAGAGTCGCTTCGTCGCCCTGTCTCTGTCGCACCCATGGCGCCGACCGTCGGGGTGTGAGAGAGACGGAGCGACAACTCGCTCTTCTGAATCACTCGGCTGCTGTTCCCACGGGATGCTACCCCCGCCCTCGCCCCCTTCCCCCATTCTCCTTTGTGAGGCGTCGCTGCCTTGCTGCTTTGCCGCCATTCAACGGTCGTGGCGAGTTCGCGCAGTTCGCGCCTTCCACGCCATCCTGGGCGCCGCCATGGCGCCGCGGCGCCGCGTCCACCGGCGGCGGCTAAGAGTCAATCAAAGGCAAAAGGCACGGGCTGGCTCTTTCTCTCTCTCCACCGGCCTCCATCCCTCTCTCTCGGTGTGCCGCGCGGGTTGCCTACACTGCCCGGCCCCTTGTTCTTGTTGGCGGGCGAAATTACCCCTTTCCTTTCCGAGTGTGCCCGTGCCGGCCTGTGCCTTTCCTTGGTTCTGAACTACCTGGGAAGGTCGCCCTATTCGCCCCAGCCCATTCGCCATTCAGCCGATGCAAAGATGCAAACCGTAACGCTGTTCAACGGACACCGCCTTCTGTCCTTCTGCTGGTGCCCCGCCACGCCACGCCACGCCACGCCACGCCCTGGGAACGCCAGACTGCCATTCTAACGACCAAAAGCGTCATCAAGGAACAGCGAGAAAAAAAAAGAAAAAGATTGAAAGGATGAGCCGATGCTGAAGCCGTTTGGAGCTCGTTTGCTCCTCCGCGCACTCGATCGGCCTGATTCCAGTTGAAGACTTGATTAGCCGTTTTCAAGTAACCTCCATGCCCTTCTAAAGGGCGTTTGAGCAAGACTCGGCACGGGGCCCTACGGGTTCGAGCTGCAGCTGCATGTTTAGTGTCATGGCCACGTGGCCACGGGACAAGCTTGCAGTTGCAGGCTCCAACGGGCTCCAACTCCAAGCCCGCCTCCCAGTTGTGAACGGTCGGGTGCCTCTCCTCTTGCTGGCAAATTAAATTTTGGCTGCAGCCTGGGCGCGGAGTACTTCGGCGGGGAGGGGGAAGCGCCTGTGAAATGAGGGTAGGCAGCCAGCCACAAGGGGGTGCATGGCGGGCGTGCCTACCCTCGAGTTCACAGGCGCTACGCAGACATGGTCAGGCTTTAGGCTTTCCCCCTGATGGCTTGCTCTATACTAGGGCAAGCTGCTTATCGAAAGAAATTTTCGAGATCAATGTCCTCAAGAATTTTTTTTGTTTTGCCATTTTGGTGATATTTTTAATTTTGGGACTATACACCAACATTTTTTGGCCCTTCGTGTAAAATATCCAGCCCTGGGATTTGTGTTAATCTATCTCCATCACCAAAACTTCTGAGATGCAGGAAATGGCCGATCAAATGTGTTTTATTCAATGCCTTCAAGGAGATTTAAAAATAAAACAAACGCTCAAGAATCCTTAAAAAACATTTTATTGAAAAAAATCAAACACACTTGTCTGAAACAAAGTAGTCTAGGTACCATGTGTGACTGGCACACGATACATCGTTATTCTTCTGACAATATTAGCAGTTAATGTTCTGATTACAGTACTTAAAATTTTAGTCTCCTATTAAAACATTCTTTTTATTACAACAATGTGATGGGATTTACGCTAATGGGCATTTTAAATGGACATAACATCTAAAAATACATAAAAATTATTTAAAAATTAACATACAAACATAACACTCTAACATAAATCTATACATACATTACAGTGGCAGAGCAACATATACAACAGGAAGAACAGGGGTTGTAACGTCTGCAAAGGTCACAGACCCCATATCATTTCGACTAGATCATTAGTATTATATACACACGATATGTACTGAAAACTTCAGCAACAAAATACATAAATGGGCTGCTCCAGCAGCCAACCAATAAAGACTTTTATTTAATACATGTGACCGAAACAAAGCATTGAAACACATCATTACAAAAGTACCAAACAAATGAGAAAAACAAATTCATTTGAGACTTTTTTAACAATTTTTCAATGCGAATTTTCGGGAAAAATCTAATAGTGTTGACTGGAGCAGAATTCAATACTAGAAAAGTTCAACGCATTTCCAGCCATTGTAGGTACTCTGAGACTACTTCTATGGCACTTTTTAATAGCAATTTCCAAAAACAACAACAAAAGACAAAAGTTGGTAAGGTAATAATAAGGCCACCAGCCACTCTGGACCATGACACCTCATGGCACATGGAGTTCGTTGCAGGCAGTGAACACAGTGCAAGTACAGACATCAAAGAATTGAAAAGCACAATAAGAGAAAAGCGATTTGCATTGCAATGTGTACCCAATAATACCTGGAAGTGTGTTAGATAAATAGAAAAAAAGGGTACTTTCCCTCTGATGAACACGTGGTCAGAGACACTCGCTTAAGCTTAGTCCTTACAAAAATTAAAATTAAAATTCTCTACTCATTCTCTTAATACGTATATATCGATTTTGCATATTCCCAAATCTTTGGTATTTGCAGAAGTTTGAGTCAAACCTAAGAAGCCCAATGGCTAAATTCACGCGAGTATAAAAGCGCCCCAAGCATCAATTGGAGGGAAATGAAAAAAGTACAAACGCTACAATAGCGTGGGGGAGGCGGAGGGGGAGGCCTTATTCGATACAAAATATCGACAATGCTGTCCTCCGTTATACACCGTATTCCGTTTAACCTAATTCCCAAAACTCTAAATGAAGTCTGTCCCTCTTTTGTTCGAAAATCTTTCAGTCTATCAGAGGACAACCAATGCTTCTTGTGGATATTCGGTGTATGAAAGGCCGTTATTTTAGCAGGCGTTGTAAAAATACTGACAGTTATACACTACTACACAATACACTTTACAATAACACAGATCTCATGGAAATCAAAACTGTTTCGTTACAATTATGCACACGCAGTAATAGGCACAAACATTACACAATAATGGTGAGTTAAAATATCGATGTCATTTTAAATCGCACTAATATCATTCCTAACAAAGTCACTCTTGTATCTAGGATGCACCAATCATCATGCAAATAAGCACGAAATCAAAATGAATGTTAACAAAAAAGAAAACCCTTACACGACATATTGTTTACATCGGGCACCATGTAGACACCTTTTAGAATCACAGTAATCACTCTCAAGCACACACACAGACTCGCATACGAAGATTCACAAACACATGTCTAAGGGATGACGAACTTGTTAAACGGTTCCAAAAGAAAGCACTTCAAGTTCAGAATCGAGAAACCAAACCACAAACAAAGTGTGCCAGTTTTCCGCCCAGAAAACACTGAGCATGTCCCGCTGTTTTGTGTCTCTGAATTTCTCACACGAGCGTTCAGTGCACTAGATAGAACCGTCGTCGTCGTCGTCGTCGTCGTCACTGTCACCTGCATAGTCATCGCTGTCCTCCAGGGACTCGTCGTCGTCCCCCAGGTGGCTTCCGAGGTGGTTGGCCATGTCATCGGCCAGGTCCAGGTCGAAGTCAGTCACCTTGAAGCTGGGTCTCGACGGCCAGGACAGCTTGTCCAAGTTGGGCGACAGGAGGTCCTCCCGGGCCGCGTTCAGAATGCTGAAATTTATAGAAATAAAATATATTTGCATCATTTTTTCAAAAGGTCCTTATTTTATAGTTTTTGCAACCTTGCGCTTTCTCAAGGCTAGAGGCTACTTTTCCTTGAGTATGCGCACCTGATTCAAGTGACATAGTCAATCTCAATAAATTTTAATTTATAAAACAATTTTACACGTGCACAGAAAAAATTTAGAAGGACACTGTCAAACACTGAGGCGCACTCAATGACAAAATAGCGAGAGGCAGGTGGCAATTTGGCGATGTAGCTGGAAGGGAGGCGCTTGGGTGGCACGCGCAGCACGCGGGGGGATGCATGCTCCGAGTGTTTTTAAGAAACGGAAGTTGACAAAAATTATGAGAATGTAGAGTAAATACAATATAGAAATTTTTTAAAAAGTCAAATCTGCAAAGCATTTAATTAAAAACAAAAACAAAAAGAAAACAACTGCGGTCCCTCCGCGGGGAAAGGGGGGGACTCTAGGGATGGGCAGCAGGGAGGCAACAGGCGAGCAATGCAGCGGTTCGCAGAGCCAAGCTGGAAACGGAAAGAACAGAAGCAGTCGGGGGACGGCTAGGAACGGCTGCACACAGCAGTCAAAAACAGCAACAAAACACAAAACAAAAACAAAAAAATATCATGATGCATTAGCACATTGATGATGCAAGCTGACCTATCCACCGGAGGTCGACACAGTGCCAATTCCATTGAGCCGAAGCAAAATCACTCTCTGCTCGGACATGGACAAGTCTAATTGTGAGATTTAACACTGGACCACACTTCGGTTCCTCTAATGTGCATACCGATTTGTTAACTGGCTGCGAAAAAAACAACAACATAGACACGGTGCTTTAGCATGTGTAGCAAACGACGTAAATAATAAAATTAAAAATAGGTCAACAAAACAGCGGACTAGAAAAGCATATTTTCCCGTCCTAGAACGCCCAAGGCTGTGCCCTAGAAGGCAAAAAAAAGTGTGCAAATTGGTCTATCTAGTACCGAGTGCTACGCTGGGTACAAGCTGTCATGCTGCGCTAACGGTACTTACAACTCCCCCACTCGTTTACGTTTACATCTCATCCTCCAACCGCCTGCAAACCAACACAAAACAAGTCCGTCATCTCGGAAGTGATGCAGTCCGACACAGACGAGGCGCGTCACTGGCGTGTCACTAGTCACTGGCCTTGCACGCACGAACACAACAAGCCGGGCTCCGCCACCTCCAATTTTCATATCCGCAGCAAATCTTGTCCATGCGTTTTTCTTAAATATTTTTACAATGTGCGTGCACACGAGGAGGGATACTTACAGGTCCTCTTGAGCATCCTGGCCGCCTTCCTCTGCCACCAGCAGCTCGTACTCCTCGGCCGCGTAGCGGTCCCAGTCCGAGAGCTAGAAACGCCAAAATGAAACATCAGTCTCACGCAATCGAATTGAATTGATGATAGAGAATTTCTTGTTCTCGGCCCGGGCCGTGCCTACCTCTCGCCCCTCGTTGTCGTGGTCCCGCTGGCTCGCGAACGGGTCGCGCTGCTCGTGGTCCAGGTACTTCTCGAGGTTGAAGAAGGTGTCGAAGAAGATGGACGTCATCTTGCACCGCTTGAGGTCGCTCAGCGAGACCTTGCCCTGGATGTCCGGCCTGATCATGTCCAGCATCTGCAAACAGGGAGTCGACACGGTTAGAATCCTAGTCAGCAAAGGCGTGCGGGGCGCCGGGGCTTCCCTGGCGGCCTGACGGCGCGCTCTCTAACCTGGCACAGGCAGTCCTCGAAGGGGAGGGTCTCGATGCCGATGGCGTCCATCCGCTGCAGCTGCTCCTCGTAGAAGTACTCCAGCTCGTACATGGAGAGGAAGCCGTCGCCGTCCAGGTCCATGCAGCGGAACCAGTACTCCACGGCCGTAGGGTGGGTCTTGTCCTCCTCGGAGAGCAGGAACCACACGAACTCGGTGTAGCTCATGCGGTCCTCGCGCAGCTTGTGGCGCCCGCCGCGCGTCACCGCGCCGGAGAAGATGCGCTCGATCAGGCGGGAAGACAACGCTGTTAAAAATATAAAAAAAAAACAACATGTCATTAGATGTCATTTTACTCCAATAAACTTTGAAAAGCACACCGGCGGCGCCGCTGCCGGGACTACGGACCGTGGTCGCTGTGGCGAGCGAGGTCGTGGCGGTCGATGAACAGGTCGTGGTCCCGGTCCAGCTCCCAGAACTTGCAGTAGATGACGTAGAAGTGCTCGTAGCTGAAGTACTGCGTGATGGCGTTGATGTCGTCCTCCTCCTCCAGCAGCTTCATCACCGCCAGCAGGTTGCTGCGACGCAGCTCAGCCAGCGAGATGCGACCGCTCCACGACCGGTTCACGCAGTAGTAGATTCGCGCGATCACCTGCGTTTTTTTGAAACAATTGAACCACAAGATAAACACACAAACCGTCCAACATTTTTGTCATTTTAAAGAAGTTTTTTTAGGTTGATCGCCTTACCGTGTGCACGTATCTCGAGTGGAACTCGGTGGCCTCCTTGAGGAAGGTGAGTCCGGGGTGCGTCTCCACGACGTCCTGGACCAGGGGGATGAAGTCCTCGGGCAGCAGGTAGTCGCGCTGGCCTCTCGTCAGGATGCTCAGGAAGCGCGAGGCGGGGTTGTGGCAGCTGGAGCACAGACTGCAACACGAGCACACCAAGGTTGTAGCCCACTCTGCCTAGAGCTGCCGATAACCCGCCACAAAGCCAATCAGGGAATCGATCCTACTTTCTCCAGTAGTCCAGGAAGCTGTTGACGTCGACGTAGCCCGCCTTGTCGCCGCCGCACGCCATGAACAGCGGCACCTTCCAGTAGAGCGGGCAGTCGCAGGCCTGGAACGAGAAACGAAACGAACACACGGTTAGAGTGAGCGCAGAGCCAGCGCCGCGCGCCGGCTGGGTAGGCAACCCATCGTGCGGGAATTCCCCCCGCTCGGGCCTTTACAGCCCGGCTGGCGGGGCGGGGCGGGGACGCCGCCATACAATGCAGCAGCGTAGCGGCGTGCATGCGCGGTCTAATTCGGGCCAAAGAGGACGCCCGCAAGGACAAGGACGCCGTCCCTTTCAAGCCTTCCAAGCCGCCTGTAAAGGGCGTCAAACAGTCTCTCTCCGACACGTCGAAGGCTCTGCCGCCGCCCGCGCGTCGCGTGCGCTCCACAGTTCGGCAAGCAAAGGCCCTGCCGGGCAAAATACGGGCCGCAAAATACGGGCATTCCGTCGCGATGGCGGCGCTAACAGAGCTAACAGCAGCCGCGGTCCAAAACGGAAGAATTCGGCGCGGTCGGCTCTCGAGCGCCTTGGCGACTTGGCGACTTGGCGCCCGTTAGCGCCTCTCTTCTCACCTTGGTGACGACGCCGAACTGGTGGCGCGGCACTTGCTGGTTGGGGAAGTTGTCGAACACGGCCGCCACCTTCTTGAGCACGAGGTCCAGGTGCTGGGCGAGGATCGGCTTCCCCTGCGGGTAGTAAAACCTGCGGGCAGACGGAACACACACAGAGTCAGAACCAGTGGGGTATTTGGTGCGTTTTGGGTCCATTTTTGAGAACAGTTTGATCCGGGTCAGCTGAGAAAGAGTAACATGCACAGATTGGCGGCCCCAACTTCGAGTCGGGGTAAACGTCCGCAGGAAACGGACTGCGTACGCGGATCGGCACAGGGCCCACAGGGCGGCAGGCCGCCAGACAGAGAGGTCCGGATGAAAAATCGCGTCAGTCCGCGCGGCGCGCGGCGTGCCCGCCACCTGTACTCGCGGCTCGGCGGCGCGGCCGGCAAGGGCGGCACGGCGGCGGCCTCACTCACCTTGGGGAACACAATGCCGGTGGGCGGCCTGGGGCCTGAAGGGGGCCTGGGGCCCGCAGCCGGCTGCTTCCGGACAGACCTGCCGTCTCTCTCGCACTCACGGGGCGGCCCGGCGGCCCGTCGGGGCGTGAGAGAGACGGCACTGTTCGAAACCAGCCCGGGGCTTGCAATGCCTGCCGTGCCTGCCATGCCCAGCGCACTGTGCACCACTGTGCCGCCACCTCGCCGCCAGATCAGCAAGACAAGCAACACAGGCGGCGTGGGGCATGGGCATGCCCGCGGCCTAGGCAAGGCGGCCTGGGGCGGCTTCGCGGAGCTTCGCGGCCTCGGTGACATTGGGCGGCGCCTGCCCCGCGGCTGTTGTTCCGACTCACATAGGATGGCCTCCAAAGGGCCCACGACGGCGACCTGGGCGGCCCGGCCCTCCCCTCCAGTAAGGACACGGCGGCAAACTTGACCCCTGCGAAAGGGCGCCGCTCCGGGACTGCAGGCGCCGCTGGGTCGCCTCGTTGACATTTCAGAACAATGCACTAATGCCCGCCGTGGTGCTTGGCCGCTTGGCGCTGGAGTGCGTAGGGGCGACGCGGCGACGCGGCGCCAGCCTGGCCTTCCCGCGCCCAGCCTTGCAGCGCCTTGCAGTGCCTCGCAGCGCTCGTACAAATCCTTTCTAAATTTCAAGGGGCGAGTGAACAACGAGGACCCCAGCCACGCGGTTGTTATTTTTGGAGCAGTGACGCACATCTTGCACCTTTTCCGGCCTAGCCCCCCCCCCCAAATCGAGGCGGTGTAAATGAGCTGTGCAAACGGTGCCCCGGAGCGCAGGGAGTCACTGGCCGCGCCGCGCCACACGTCTCTCTCCCACTCGCGTGGAGAGGGACAGAGCGACGAAGCCACTGTTCTCCGACAGCCGGCCAGGCGTTCACCGAGTCACTCCGATGAGCCGTTTGGCACGACGTTGTTAGGCGCTATCGACCATACCCAGCGGCCAGGCGAGCCAGGCGACACCAGAGTCGCGTTCCGTTCTGGCCGCTGGGTATAGTCCAGCGGTTCCCAACCTTTTTCGGTTCGCGACCCCAAATTTGTAGCCAAAACTTTCCGCGACCCCCAGGAAAAATTTCGCGACCCCACGCGACCCCTCCTTTAGCATGCCTTTGTTACGGAGTGTGATTATCTGCCTTAGTTTGGCCATCGTGTTTTGGGCCGACTTTAAGCATTTACTGCGTCTGATCCGAGGCGGTAAATCGTCCTCCGTCAACGGGCAATTGGTCTTTAGACCTTCCTTTAGCATGCCTTTGTTACGGAGTGCGATTATCTGCCTTAGTTTGGGAGTAGTTTTGCCACAAAGTTGATCAAAACACGATTTTTCATACATTTGTGACCGTTTTGATCAACTTTGCGGCAAAACTGCTCCCAAACTAAGGCAGATAATCGCACTCCGTAACAAAGGCATGCTAAAGGAAGGTCTAAAGACCAATTACCCGTTGAGGGATGACGATTTACCGCCTCGGATCAGACGCAGTGGATGCTTAAAGTCGGCCCAAAACACGATTTTTGACAGACATTTGTGACTGTTTAGACCAACTTTGCGGCAGTACTGCTTCCAAACTGAGTCAGATAATTGCACTCCGTAACAAAGGCATGCAAAAGGAAGGTCCAAAGACCAATTGCCCGTTGAGGGAGGGTGATTTACCGCCTCGGATCAGAAGCACTGGATGCTTAAAGTCGACCCAAAACACGATCTTTTACACACATTTGTGACCGTTTTGATCAACTTTGCGGCATTTAAGCAGCCAGTGCTCGGCGTGTGGCCCAGCCGGGAAACCACCGCGACCCCAGGCGACCCCAGCCACCTCGCCGCGACCCCTTGAAATTTTTTCGCGACCCCATTTGGGGTCGCGACCCCAAGGTTGGGAACCGCTGGTATAGTCGGACGCGCCCAACAACGTAGTCCGCTCGATTCGGCGTCCGTGCCGCTATCCTTGGCGTGACTGGCCAAAAGCCACTCTTTATTTGTCATTATCTAATTGAGCCGGTGGGCACGTCGTCTGATTCCGAACGCCTGTCCGTCTCTCTCGCACTCGCGGGGCGCGGCGGGGCGCGGGCATGTCCCGCGGGGGTGCGAGGGAGACGGCGACACGCAGCACTGTCAGGCCTGCAGGCCACCCACTGCCACCGTGTGCCTTGCCGCCTTGTGTCGATATGTGGGTCGGCCGTCGTGCCCGGGGCGCTTATTTTGAGTTTCCACACCGAGACCCCCGCCACCGCCACCGCCACCGCCACCACACCGCCAAGCCGCCGGTGTTGTTGACCTCGGCGCGGATTAAAAAGCCGGCCGTCCGGAATGAAATGGATTCCAGCGCAAAATCCGCCAAGCCGCCTCCACGGCCGCTTGGCTGCTTCGCTGGCTTCGCTTCTCCAGCCGACTGGCCGACTCCAGCGCGGCTCGCTGGAAAACGGGGAGGGGATTTCGGCAACGCGCAGCGCGACGCACAGCAACACAGCGATATACTGCCGTAGCGGAGGAGAGCCCCACTTCAGAGCCGTGAAGTGAGGCGTGGCGTGGCGAGGCGTACAGTAGTCGCCAATTGAGCGAACACATAGTTTGGACGGACCGTCTGTCTGTCCGTCTGTCGGCTTGATTGTCTGATAACTGAGGCAGTCTGCCTTGCAAAACCAAACTGTGGTGAGAAAAAAAAGCAAAACAACAAACAAAAACAAAAAAAGCATAAAAAATTAAATCTGTGGTGATTGGATCTGAGAATACAACCTGGGTAGTCCGAAGGCTGTCGCAGTGTCCGTTTAAAATTTCAAAAAAAAAAAGGCACGAAAAAAATTGACATTGGAATTGGTAGGCGGATTGAAGGGCTGCTGGAATACGTCCACGCGAACAGAAAAAAAAGCCCACATTTTAATGGCACTGGAATTAGTGTTCGATCAGGCCAGATGTCCTGTCCAGAACCTCGTCGAGACGACGGAGGCCCTGTCGTGTCCTTGTTCCGTTTCCATGGAGACACGGCTTTCTGATCGCCCCTCAATTCCCTCCCTCCCCTCCCCCTCCCTCCCCTCGCCAAGTCTGGCATTTCTGTGCCCCGCGGGGAAGCCGGGCGGAGCCGGGCGGCAAGGCTCGTTGGCAAGCGAGGCGGCTCTCCAAAATTTCGCCATGCGACGAGGTCTTTCTAACCGAACACACACACTCTCTCTCTCTCTCTCTCTCTCTCTCTCTCTCCTCTCTCTCTCCCCCCCCTCTCTCTCTCTCTCTCTCTCTCTCTCTCTCTCTCTTCGACCGCCGGCTGGCCGAATAAAATAAGCAAACGTTCGCAAAAGCCGGCTGCTTTTCACAGCAACGCAGAGTCCCGCGGCTCCTTGAGTCGCGCTTGTGCGTGTGTGTGCGTGTACCGCGTGGGCCGAACCGAGTGGGCTGCTAGGTGAGCTCCTTCTGGCTGCGTGCGAGGCGTGAGGCCCCGCCCCGCGAGAGCGACAAGGATGGCCAACCGCGCCTCGGACGCAGCCCCGCCATTCAGCAGCACTGCCGTCGAGTCTCTCCGTCTCTCTCGCACCCCCGCGGCACGCCGCCACGCCGGCACGCCTCGTGCGAGTGCGAGGGAGACAGAGCGAGTTCGGGAGCAGCCCGCCGCGCTGCGAGTGGCGCGGAACGCGCGGAACCCAATCGAATAACCAACTCGCCAGGCCGGCCAGGCCGCGGCAGCACCGGGTTTCCATCAATCTCACAACAATGATGCCAATCACCGGGATGAGTAGGCCGCAGTGCAGGCTTTACACGCCGTCTGTGTGTGCGTGTGTGTGTGAGTGTGGGAGTGTGCCCCAGACGGCCCCGGAAACAGGGGCCATTCGCAGAGCGTTCCAAACGCCGCCCTCGGCTCGCCTCTTTTTGGCCTTTTTTTTGCAATCCGTCCACTTTGGCCAACTTTGTCTCGCCACCACTCCATTCTTATCGAGGCGATGATAGCGATTCCGTCAGACCGTCAGGCGCACCACTGCAAGCCCGTCCTGCCGGTCCTGCCCTGCCCTGCCCCGGCTGGGGCCCGGCCAAGAAGTGACTCACAGATACCCTCCGCCGGGCTGGCCGGGGCGTGGTCCGGCGAGGGCCATCCCATGCCCTAGGAAAGCCAAAAGCCCCTCGCTGCTTCCAACTGAATTTACTTCCTATCTGCCTCTTTCGGCTCGGCGCTGCGGAGGGAAATCAAGTCGTCTTTGTTTCGACGTTTGTTGTTGTTTTTGTCCGTGTGCTCAGAGAGCAGGTCAGGACAGCCGCACCCCTCGGTGCCATTCGCAACTCGCGGCATTACGGCATTTGATTTGCATGCGAATCCACACTAGAAAATGAACTAGCGCCAACGGGGGCGGAGAGGCCTTTTAGAGCCCGTCTACCAGATAATGGGGAATCGCTGAACCTTGCTTTTGCCCCGAAGAACAACAAGAAGAAGAGGGAGACTAGCAAAACAACGGGCACGCTTTCAAAATAGAAAGTTGAGATGGCCGGGGGAAAGAAAAAAAATAAATGAAAGCTTTTAGCGGCATTGCCAGCTCCACAATGATCCATACCGGCGGGGCGCGCCAAATGCTGGCCGTAAAGCAACGTCCGGCTTCGGGCCTCACACTCCGAGTCACTCCCACCAACACACTACCCACAAAAGCGAGAACACGGCGCGAATTAAGACGAGAACGCAACGCCACACACGCGGAAGAAACCCAACGGCCCGCAGACTCATTCCGAGAGTCCTTCTCGTCGCTCTGTCTCTCTCGCACTCATCGGGCGTCCCGCATGGGTGCGAGGGAGACAGAGCGACGAGAACGACTCTCGGAATCTCGGAGTCTGCTGCCTCGCCGCGCGTCGCAAAGCCTTTGTAATTGGCTTGTTCGATTGGAGGCACACTGAGAAAGAGAGAGACGGAGAGTCTTGGCGTCCCAACCGATCGCGTGCTAAGCAGGCGACGTCACGGCGGCGTCGGTTTGAAGCGCGAGCGAGAGTCTTCGGGTGGCTTCGGGTATCCGCGCGCGCCGCGCACGCCATGTGTTCAGTGACAAGCTCGGTTCGGCTCCGCCATGGCTCTGCTCTGGCCCTGACGCCGCTCGGGCGCTCGGCTCGAACCCTCGCGGCGTGGCGTGCTTCGCGTGCTGGCCCCGCCGTCTCCGCCTGTCAGACTAGTTCTCGCAGAAACAATTCAATGCGAAAGGCCGAAGGGGGTCGGCCCGGGCGATACTCAAGGTCCCATACGCCACGGCGTACCTCCTGGCGGTCCGGGCGGTCCGGGCGGGGCCGTGCCGCCGTGCCGTGGCCCATGCAAATTCCATGCAATTTGGCTGTCCGGGCCGGGCCGGGGCGGGCCGGGGCTGGCTGTCCAGTGCCGGGATGCCTCCGCGCTGGCGGCCTGGACGGCCTGGACCCGCTGCCCGAGGAAACATTCCTCTCCGCTCCTTCCCGGGATGCTCCCCGGGATGCTCCCCGAGGCAGTAAAGCCAGCCCCACCTCGTGTAGCCGACGCCTTCGTGCTGCTTCTCCAGCAGAAAGTGCTCCGGGAGGCCGTCCTGCGTCGGGTACTGCAGCGGGCTGAGGGGCTCCTCGTCCAGGAGGCCGCCGTCGTGGCGCAGGTCGTGCAGACGCAGGTGCAGGGCGTCCCTCAGGGACCGCGCGATCGTCTTCAGCGGCGTCATGAGGCGCCCCGTCCGCGAGGGCGCCACCGCGTCCGGTGACGTCGGCGAGGAAGGGGAGGAAGGCGACGTCGGCGATGAAGGCGAGGGTGGCGACTGGGTGGCCGACGTGGTTTGCCACGGCCACTGCGGCGTCCGCCTGTCCGAGGCCGTGCCGCCGTTGGGGGCGGTGGCGTTCCAGGCGTTCCAGGCGTTCCAGGGCCGCGCCGCCGCCAGCGACATCGTGGACAGCGCGCTGTGGCGCTGCCGGCCCTGCCGGTGCAGGCCCTCGAAGTGCTTCGGCCTCAACAGCGTGACGGCGGGCGAGGGCGCCCACTGGTGGTCGTCGTGGAGCTCCTCGACCTCCAGGATGACGTCACCCCCGTCCGGGGCGATGACCCGCCAGCCGGTCACCCCCGCCAGCTCCGGCGGCTCCGGGCCGCCAGCCTGGCACGACCTCCGCGACCACGACCTCTCCGCGTCTCCCCCTTCTTCTTGCTCGCCGCGGTCCTGACCCCCTGACACTGCAAGCACCCTGCTCCGCGGCGGGGCGCTGGCCTCCGCGAAGGCCGTCCTGGCCGTCCTGGCCGACGACGCCGTGGTGCTGTGCGTGACGACCTGGGACACCGACCAGCGCACGGGGCGCGCGGGGCACAGGCAGGCCGGGCTGGGCAGGCCGCACTCCGAGCACACCATGACGGCCGCGGCGCACCACACCGTCCACCCGCCGATGGGTCTCGTCAGACACGCGGCGCGCGAGATCGGCACGAGCGTGATGAGCACGGGCGTGGCGAGCGAGCACGCCCGCGGCGAGCGACTGGCGGCCCGACGGCGCCAAGCACGCTGCCTGGCGGTCCACCCCACGACGGGCTGCTCCCCAAACAGTGTCTCTCCCTCGCCCATGCAGTGTAGCAGCGTCCCGTGGACGTGCGAGCGAGACGGAGCGACCTGGCGCCGTCTCGGAGGCAGCATGCAGAGACGAAACGGGTTGAGTCGCGGCACGCGAGGCGCGCCGACAGAGCACCGGTCGAACGGGCGTACGAGGGTGGCGCGCCGATAGCAGTGGAGTAGACAGACGGACGGGGACTACGCGTGGAGCCGCAGACCGCCAGGGCACCAGATTAGAAATAGACCGGGTGAACGTCAGTCGGGACCGCAAACAAATCATCAACTCGAGATGTCTCGCCGGGGGCAAGGCAAGGCAAGGCGCCCGCCAGTGTAGGCAACATCGCAGCGCGAGCGCGCGGCTGCGTTGCCCTTGCCTACCCTGCAGGCTGTCCCACGGCCAGGGTGCCCAGGGCCGCGTCCTTGCCAGTCCTTGCAGGGGCGCCACCAGCGCGGCGCGAAAAAAAGCAACAACAGAAAAGCAACACGAAAGCGGCGGCTGGAAGTTTGTCGGGTCGGGGCTTGTTTACAGTGCCGGTGCCGGCTGGTGAGCCGCCTCCTCCTTGTTCAAGATGGCGGCGTCGCGATGCTGCCAGCGATAGGGAATCGGCCAGTGAAGTATGGCAGTGCTTGTCCGCGCCTTGATAGAGTGCGCAAGCTGTGCACGCCGCGCAAGCCGAGTTGGAGATGGAGTTGCTAGGCCTCCGCGGCCGCCCAAACGGACTCCCCTCGCTCGCCTCGCTTACAGTGCACGTCCCTGGCTGTCTCGGAGGACTGCCCTCTGCCCGCCACTCGGCGTGCCACTCGGCCATCCGTTGACCCCCCATAGGTGTGGCGGGGCGGGGCGGGGCGGACCGAGCTGGCACCCACGCGCCGCATTCATCACCAACGCGCGCCTAAAGGCTTCCTGGCGGGGCGGGGCGCCGGCCGGCTACACCCGCCACTGTGCGCGCCGAGCGCCCCGCGGCGCCCCGTGCCCAGTGGCGTAGGCGCGGCCCGCGGGCGGGGCGGGCCAGGCCCTGATGACAGGGAAGCCTGCTCGACAGACAGTCAGTCCGCTCCGCTTTTGCCCGGGACCACGCCCCGTTCAAATTGAACCGGATCGGTGCGAGCTGCGAGCGGCCCCCCTATGGCGGTCCCCCTATGGCGGTACCCCTATGGCGGTCCCGGCTGCCGATCGCAAACAGGGTCTTCTTCTCGGCGCGTCGCTAATGTCAAGGCTGAAGCGAAAGCAGCGCCGGCGTGGTGCTGTGTCTATTTGCGCGGCTGCCCCCTCCTCCTTCCTTCCGACTCTGACTGACAACAACAACAACAACTCCTCCTACTGCAAAAACGACGGCGACAACTCAGAGCTGCGAGCCGGCCTGGAGCCGCAAAATGAGCTTGGGTGAAGTTTCGACTCGTCCATTTACTTCCCAACGCGACAGCGGCAGTCCGACGGAGCCACGGCTTGGCACGCCCATGGCACGCCCATGGCACGCCCGCCCTTGGCTCGGCGTGGCGTGGAGGCCGAGCCCTGCCCGCGAATAATACGGGCACGTGCGGATGCAGCCGCGAAGGGCAAGGCGCACTGTCAAAACAAATATTTACCGGAAATTCGAAAAAAAAAAAAAAAACAATAAACGATGGAAACGCCTTTTACAGAACGTTACTTTCTATATATTTTGGAAACAACTACAGCAACAGCTTCACTAGTTTGATTTTTGTTGTTGTTTTAGACGCCGTTTTTGACGGTGTGCCGGTGCCAGTCACCTGGCCGTGTGCCGCTGCGCCGCCCCGCCAGCCAGAGGACGGCTCGGCAAACACTCCACTACTAATGGCACACCTGTTGCGACGCCTCTTTATTTTGCACTGGCCTAGGGGCAGTTGCATTTTTTTGCCACGTCAGAGTCAAGGAGGTAGTGAAGACATCTAGGAAAAAAATTATCCGAGTTTGTTGCTAGTCGGGGTCGAGTCAGCAAGCGCTGACTGCGAACAGGCGAAAAGGTCGCCTGGCGGGTAGGCCGTCCCGTAACACTCGGGTGCAGGCGGGCTGCCTACCTGCCGGGGGCTCTTCGGAACGCCTAAGCGTTCCTTAACGACGGGGCCGCCGGCGCGTTGTTTGCCTTCTGGGCCGTGTGGGCGGAGTGCTTACCTTGGTATGAGGTGGTTCCTGGAGGCCCGGGCTTGCCGCTGCAGTGTGCCTGGCAGCGGTCCCGGCCGGGCGCCGTCCTTGTCCCGCGAGTACGTCTGCAACAACAAGGAAGCCGTCGTCAGCGCCAGCGCAGTGGGTTCCGGCCGTCTCGAAACACGCAGAGTATTGACCGCGGGCGGATTCACAGTGGGGTGGTTGTTTACAAGTTGCCCGTCTCTTGCTCCTCGGCGCACCAGGCGCGCAGAAGGCGCGAGAGCGGCGCCGGGAGGAGGAGGAGGAGGAGGTCTCCCGCCCCACACCGCACGCGGCACCACGCAGCGCGCCAAAGTTCGAACCAAGAAATCCAACGGAGCCGAAAAAAAAATGTTACGCCACGGAAGACATTTCTCCATGGTTACGCATGGCGATCGAGCAGCGTGCCCAGTCCAGGCCGCCCTGCAATGTGCAGTCACTGGTTCGGATGGAAACACTCTCACTTTCGGAGATTCGAACCATATGGGGCGGACACACACGCGCGCGCGCGCGCACACACACACACACACACACACACACACACACAGAGCGCTTTATGCGGCTTTGCGGCCGGCTACACAACGTTACGCGCCGCCTTATAGGCGAGAGTGACTGATTTCCAACACGGCATATGGAAACGGCGATATGAATATCGTCTAATGTCATCTGGCGCCAGGCCCAGCAGGCTGTCGTCGCTCTGTCTCTCTCGCACTCGCGGGGCGTCCCGCTGGGGTACGAGAGAGAGAGAGAGACGGAGCGGTTATTTTTTCAAAAGTCCGTGTCGCGCCGCCCACGAGGCGCGAGCCTGTCCGTTGGGGATTTCTCATCACGCGGCACTGCAGCCGCTGCAGACCCTGCAGACTGCACGCCGTGAATGCAAGGGAGGTGCCTTTTTTTTTGGCAGATCCTTGAACCTACTGCCACAGTCGTAAATAATAATCAAGCCCAGTTAAAAACCACTGTCGTCAAATAAACGCCCCTTCCAAAAAAAAAAATAAGTAGCTCACAATTTTTTTTTAAAAAAAGTTTCTTCTTTTTTTCAAGTTGGCTGCTTTGTTACGTTATTAATGCACTAAACTGCTCGGCGGCAGCGCTACGCAGCGCTACGCAGCGCTACCAACCGCGGCAGCCGATTGTCGGTCAAGGTTTGGGCTGGCAGGCCAGGCAGGCAGGCAGGCAGCAGCAGCGGTCGCTCCAGAGGTGTGGCTCGGCCGATACAAAGTCGCGGCGTCGCCAAACGACTCGTCGTTGTCGTTGCCGGCGACACGCAGTCGCCCCCGAGACGAAGACGCGTCCTGGGATTGTTGTACCTACACTGCAAGTGCGCGCGCGCGTTTGTGTGTGTGTGTGTGTGTGTGTGATTGTTTGTTCGGGTGCGTTGTGTGAGTGACCGCGAGTCCTCTCGCCTCCCGGGCTTCGAACGCAGACGAAATCCAGCCTGGTCGTTGGAAGGGCCATGTAGTTTAGGCGTAGTCCATTGAGTGAGTCCATTGACCGGTCCGTTTTGGGATTCAACCCGCGGTGCATGCTGATTAAAGTTTGAGCGGCCATAGCCAGCCACGCCCCGCCACGCCACTGCAGGCTGGTCACGTCGACGGACGTACGGCGTCGCTACAACACCTCATGACGGGAAGCTCGGTGCACCGCCAAAAAGTGGAGGCAAGCGTTGGCGGGGAAAGGTTCCAGATGGAAAGACCCAGAAGGGCCAGAAGGTGAAGTGGTCTCGGTGGTCTCTTTGACGGCATCGTAACGACGAGAGAGAGAGACTTTCCGTGGAATAACGGCCAGCGCGTTGCCATGGCGACGGCTTCCCGACGAGGACGACGAGGACAGCCGGAAGGCGTGCCTGCCTGCACCGCCGCCCGCTCGAGGGTTTAGCGCGCCGTCAACGCGATGCGCGCGCACGCGTGCCACGCTCGCGTCGCTCTGTCTCTCTCGCACGCGGAGAGGAAGCCCAGCGCCCGCGTCGCTCTGTCTCTCTCGCACCCACGGGAAGCAGGCCGGGCGCATCGCGGGCGGGGTCAACGATTCCGTCTCGCCGACCAACGCACCTCTGTATGCAACACGCGTCTAATGAGTGGAGAGGAGCGGTTCGAGCACAGCGAGGCGCACTGTAGGTTCTCTCGAACAGACCGTGCGCATTTTAATTGGTTTCGTTTAGTGGCTGAGAACCTCGTAGGGCCGTAGTACAGCTTGAGCTTACAAAATCATTAAATATTTAATAGTTAATTTTTTTTTCCTGTTTGGCAGTGTGGCTCACGTGCCACGACGGCAGTCTCGGGCGGTTCGGATGGGGTGCTCACCGCGCGGCTAGCCGCAGCCCCCCCCCCTAATAATCGGCATGTTACTGAAGCCTTTCCTTTCCATCACGCCAGATAAGACGCCGATCCATCGGCCGGCCACACTCCAGGCGTCGCGGCGGACGGACAGGCGGAAAAAAAATTAAAATGAAACGCGGTTTTCTTTTTTTTTTGCGTGGCCGCTTTCACCGGGGTTCGAACCCACGACCCGCGCGATAAGCTGCGCGCGTTATCGTCCGGAAACGGGCGCCGTCTCGCGTCACCTCGCCCACCTACGCCGAACGACAAGGCGAACAAGGAGGAAAATAAAATGTGGGTCCGTCTGTCTGGCGGCCTGGCGGCCGGGAACGCATTTCAAACCTCAAGGTGTTCGATGACACAGACACAGGGGCGGACGGACAGGCGGACCCACACTCGCACAAAACGGAACTTGTGAGACGTCTCGATGGCCGGGGAGGTCATCGTGGAGGTAAGGGTCCCGTCGGTCGTGGGCGGCCTGGCTCCCCCCTCTGCTTTGCATGTTCCCCACGTAATTCAGACAGGAGCATCGCCGCGGCCGAGTGAACAGCTGCAGCGTTTTGCAACGCGATGACGAGACGGAACGTCACGCTCCAGGTTCGGCGGGGACAAGATGGTTCCTCTCGGGTGTGGAGTGGGTTTGTTTACCTGGTTGTAGGACCGCGGCAGTCGCCTGGCGGGCGGCGAGTAGGGGAAGCGCGGGCCGCGGCGCCACGGCGGGGTGGCGTCGCCATTCTGGCCGTGGCCGTGGCCGTCACCGCCGAGCAGGGCCTGGCACGCGAGGCAGCGGCGTCGGAAGCGCACCGCGGGGCCCGACGACGACGGCGACCCCGAGCACTCCACCACCATCACCAGGCACATGGCGCATCGTGGGGAACGCCGAGACCGAGGCCGAGGCCCATAGGGTGCGCCGCGCTGTGCGCGCTGTGCCCCGGGGCTGGGGGTGGCGGCGGCTTGGCCGGCCTGGCCCGCGCTCAGCGCGCTCAGCCAGCCACAGGTGGAGGCGATGCGGCCGCCGGATCAAAACGGAAATGCCGCCGCCGGCGGCGGGGCGCGAACCCACGCCACGCGCAGGCCGCACAAGGCCGCGCGTCCTGCGGAGCCCGGCGTCCCTTCACTCGGACACCTGGCGAGACGCACTGATGACACTGGCACACCTGACGGACGCGTCGCGGACTGACTCACGCACACACTCACACACGACGCGCGCGGCACCGCGGCGGGCTCGGCCCACACCACAGACACGGTACGACTGTCCGCGTGAGGCCGCTGCCGAGCCTGCGTCGCTGCGTCCGCCTCGCGCGGCTGTCTACGGGGCACTGGGCCTGGGCCCCGCTGGGACTGGGCCCCGCCACGCCGCGCACGCCGCGCACGCCACGGCGATGGAGATGGCGGGGGCCATGGCGGGGCGGCCTCGCGGCCAGCGTCGCCGTGGTGCGGCGGTCCAGAACACCCGCCCCGCCCCGCCACGCCCCGCCCGCGCGGTGCGGAGCGCAGCACCTTGCCGAAACTCGACCCTCCGACAGCAGACACGCGCCAACGGTTAACTACGTCACTGTGATATTCTTTCGATTCGGACCGAAAATCATTCAAATATCAACAATCGGGCGCCAAATAAGATTTTCACCCGGAAAGGATCTTTCAAAAATAATGGTTTTCTACTTTGGCAGGCCCATTTTTTGGGATGGTCCACAACCGACACGTCCAAACGAGACGTCAATATCTCCGTCATTTAAATAGGCGTTATCTTCGCATCTTTGCGAAATGGATGGCGAAGCAGAAACAGTACCAGTCGTGTCTGCTGCAAGTGTGAGTGATAGTGTGTGTACGTGTGTGCCTGTGCGTGTGTGCACTACCCACTACCTCCGGTAACGGGGACACCAAGATAAGCAGGGAGGCGATAGAAGAAGAAATCGACCTACTATTGCATTTAAGGCATCGATGCTTCCTCGACGGCCTGGCCGGCCTGGCTGGACGCTCCAGGTCGCTGCAGCTGGACGCTGTCCAGAGAGAGAGAGAGAGAGAGAGAGAGAGACAGAGAGATACTGGAGCAGGTACTACTGCCCGGTGATTTACCTCACTGCAAAACGGCCCTGATACTGACAGCGGCAAAAGAAGAAAAACGACATTTCAAGGGCCGGGCGGGCGCGAGCGCCAGACGCCGGTGCACAGTGGGCCAGAAGACCGGCGGTGGCGGTCAAAATCCCGGGCGCGTTTTGAGCTCCAGAGTCGCTGAATGGGACCCGAACCGAACGTGTGACCCCACCAATGGATTGCTCTCCGAACGAGGAATCCATTGGTGGGGTCACACGTTCGGTTCGAGTCCTGATCAGCGACTCTGGAGCTCAAAACGCGTCTAGAGTTTTGGCCGCCGGCGCCGGTCTTCCCGCCCACCTGTCGGTGCAGCGCGCCCAGCGAAAAGCGAAGAGCGGTTCGACAATGACCTGACGTAACGTCGCGGGGCCGAACGGGGCTCACGTGAGGGCCGAAGGTGCCGAAGGGGCCCGCGACCGAAGGCAGGAAAAGAAAGCCTCCACGACTAAATGGCGACGGGCGGGCTGCAGCGACGCAGCGACGCACCAGCGCGGCGAGTCCCAAATCGCTGGAAAACCGGAAAGGACCGCCACCCGCAGCGACGCGCAGCACAGCCCAGCACGACCCCGCCGAGTTTCCGGCACTTGTAAGCGACCGCGCGTGCGTGCATGTGTGTGCGTCTGTCTGTCCGTCCGTCCGTCGGTCCGTTACGACGTCATTGGAAACACCCC